GCCATTTTTGTATTTTTTGTAGAGATGGGGTTTCACCATATTGCCAAGGTTGGTCTAGAACTCCTGAGCTCAAGCAATTCGCTTACCTCGGCCTCCCAAAGTGCTGGGATTACAAGCATGAGCCACGACGCCCAGCTATCCTCCAAAATCTTGATTCTTTTTTTTGTTTAATCTTTTTATTTTGGAAAATAAAAAAATACAGAACAGTATGAAACAAACCTGCACGTTGTGCACATGTACCCTAGAACTTAAAGTATAAAAAAAAAAGAATGATAAACAACGTATGTACCGACTACTCATTAATATTTTATTATTTTTGTTTTTAGTCTTTTTTAACTAAAAAATAAAACATTACAGATTAAAGTCCTCTTTGTTTCCCATTCTGTCTCATCTTCTTCCCAGAGACAGTTAATGTTACGAATTTAAGGTGCATTGTTAAAATATTTTTGAATACTTTTTACATGCATTGTTATGTATCCAAGAACAATATATGCTAGTGTGTGTGTGTGTTTTAAATGCACGTAAGGAACAGTTTATCCTACATAGTTTTTTGTATATATCATTTTAGAAGTTCCTTTTTAAAAATGTAACATTGATTGATCCATGGATATCTCTATTAGTGAGTGAGTCTTATTTGTTTGCATTATTTGTGATATCTGACATATTTGGACTCACTTATGCCATTTTAGTTTGGTGGGTTTTGTTTGCTTTTTACTGCTCTTCTCATCTTCTATTGAATTGGTCAATTCTTCTTTATTTCCTCTTCTAGATTAAAAGTTACACATTCTACTTCTGGTCCTTCAATAGGTACCATTAAAATGTTATTATACACAATTCACATTATTTTTGTTTTTATTTTTCTGAGATAGAATCTCCCTGTCACCCAGGCTGAGTGCAGTGGTGCAATTATAGCTCACTGCAGCCTTTACCTCCTGGGCTCAAGCGATCCTCCCACCTCAGCCTCCCCAATAACTGGCAGCACAGACTTGTGTCACCACACCTGGCTAATTCACATTATTTTAAAATAAATACTAAAGTTTGTGTATATTCTCCTAAACAAGCAAGGAATTGAACACATTTGTATTTTACTCTCAACAATCTCCTTCTGGCTCCTATGTTAACTATTGTCTAGTGTTTTAGTTCTACCTTGTTTTTTTTGGTTGTTCGTTTTTGTGGGGTTTTTTTGAGATGGAGTTTCGCTCTGGTTGCCCAGACTGGAGTGCAATGGTGCAATCTCAGCTTACCGCAACCTCTGCCTCCCAGGTTCAAGCGATTCTCCTGCCTCAGCCTCCCGAGTAGCTGGGATTACAGGCATGACCACCAAACACAGCTAATTTTTGTATTTTCAGTAGAGACGAGGTTTCTCCATGTTGGTCAGGCTGGTCTCGAACTCCCAAACTCAGGTGATACGCCTGCCTCGGCCGCCCAAAGTGCTGGGATTACAGGCATGAGCCACCACAGTTGGTCAGTTGTTTATTAGTGGTAGTTCACGTATTTTCTTTTCTTTTTTTTTCTTTTTTTTGAGACGGAGTCTTGCTCTGTCACCCAGGCTAGAGTGCAGTGGCATGATCTTGGCTCACTGCAAGCTCCCCCTCCCAGGTTCACGCCATTCTCCTGCCTCAGCCTCCCGACTAGCTGGGACTACAGGCGCCAGGGCCACCCCACCTGGCTAATTTTTTCTATTTTTTAGTACAGTTGGGGTTTCACCGTGTTAGCCAGGACGGTCACGATCTCCTGACCTCCTGATCTGCCCGCCTCGGCCTCCCAAAGTGCTGAGATTACAGGTGTGAGACACCGCGCCCGGCTGATTCACGTATTTTCACCAGATTTCCCCCCCTTTTCTCACCATTGTTCTTGAATTCCATCTTTCATCCTGGCTTTTTCTTTTTTGTTAAAATCTTACTTTTGGTAGCTTTTTGGTGAGAGTCAGTTAACTAACTCTTGGACTTTGGATGTATTCAAAACATATGCTGGTCATGCATGGTGATTCACGCCTGTCATCCCAGCACTTTGGGAGGCCAAGGCAGGCGGATCACTTGGTGTCAAGAGTTCGAGACCAGCCTGGGCAACATGGTGAAACCCCATCTCTACCAAAAAACATATGTTTAAAAGAATTAGCCAGGTGTGCTGGCACATACCTGTAGTGCTAGTACGTATACCTTCAGCTACTCAGGAGGCTGAAATGAATGAATTGCTTGGGCCAGGAGGCAGAGGTTGCAGAGAGCCGAGATTGTGCCACTGCACTCCAGCCTGGGCAATACAGCAAGACCCTTAAAAAAATAAAGGAAAAGAAAAGAAAAATGTAATGCTATTTTTACTCTTGAATGATCACTTACTTTGGGATAGAATTCTATTGTGTCAGTTTTCCTCCCTGATGACTGTGAAGATAGAATTCATTCTCTTCTGGTACCTGCTGCTTCTGAGGAGAAGTTTGTTGTCAGTCTAGATGTGTGATTGTTCATTTGGAGATATTTTGCCTTCTCTTTTCTGTTTGCGTCTAAAATTTTCTCTTAATATTTTATAGTTTCACTGTAATGTGTCAGTGTTTGAAAATTTTAATTTATCCTGCTCATGACTCAGTGCGATTTCTTTTGTTCTGAGAAATTCTCACCATTGTCTCTATTCTATTCTTCTGGAATTTCTAGTAGAAATTCTAGTAGAAATTCCAGAACGGTCTCTTTCTAACCTCCATGTCTCTTAGTGTCATGTTCCTGTTCTTAATTTCTTGATTTCTCTGTGCTATGTTTGTTTTTTATTTTTGCAGCTTTCAATTCACTAATTATCTTTTCAGTTGCTTCTTTTTTTTTTTTTTTAATTTTAATGGGTATATTTTCTTTCTTCTTCTTCTACTTCTTCTTTTTTTTTTTTTTTTTGACAGAGTTTTGCTCTTGTTGCCCAGGCTGGAGTGCAGTGGCACAATCTCAGCTCACTGCAAACTCTGCCATCCAGTTTCAAGCGATTCTCCTATCTCAGCCTCCTGAGTAGCTGGGATTACAGGTGCACGCCACCATGCCTGGCTAATTTTTGTATTTTTAGTAGAGTCAGGGTTTCAACATGTTGTCCAGGCTGGTCTCGAACTCCTGACCTTGTGATCTGCCGGCCTCAGCCTCCCAAAGTGCTGGGGTTACAGGCATAAGCCACTGTGCCCAGCCAAATTTTCATGGGTTTCATTTTTGAATGAATTAAATGATATGATGAATTAAATGAAAATTTAATTCATTCAATTTTCAATGAATTAAATGAAAATTTTAATTTCATTTCTTAGATTTCTACTAAATTATTTTTCAAATGTAATTGCTCTTGTTTCAAAATCTCCTAATCTTAGATCACTAATTTGGATTCTTTCCCTTTGTACAAAGGATACTATTTTTAAACTACTTCCAGATGTATTATTTTATTTTCCTATCCTGAATATCTTCACATCACATTGTGGTGACTAGAGGGCTTCTAGAAAGAGGCAGAGAAACATGTATTTTTATTTATTTTTTGAAAAAAATACATTAACAGCTTTTATCTTCAAATTGGATTTTGTTTGACTCTGCACTAAAAACAAAAAATAAGCTTGAAGTCCAGGTCCCTGTAAGTGTAGAGAAGCTATCCCAACCAGACTTAATGTCTAAGAAAGAGGCCAGAATCAGAAAGAAATAGGTTATTATATAGAGAAGTGAAGCCCAGAGCCCAGCACTTCAAGGCCTTGCATATAACAGGACAAGCTTCAAGGGGGTGTGACCTACACAGACACACAGGGCCCCAGGCTTAGAAGAGCCACAAATGGTTTATTGATCAAAGAGACCCTCGTTCATTTTGAACTGGGCCCCAAAATTACGTAGCTGGTTCTGGTACTAGTGGTACTAGGGAAAGTCCTGAGAAGACAGAAAGAGGAAGAAAAGAAAAAGAACAAAAACAAAAACAAAAAGACCCTGATGTTTTTGACCCCCAAGGCATTTTGGGTAGAAGAGACATAGAGGCAGCAGAGACACATCAATCCCAGCTCTTCCTTGGCCCAGAATGACAGAGGATATTGCTTGATTTGAGAGGAATACCAAAGATGGGGTCCTTTTGTCCAATTTAACATTTTGGATTCTGGAAGAAGAGTTCAGTCTCCCTTGTCACCACCCCAAAACAGAGATAATAAAGCAGTTCTGAAAGCGACTTTAAAATAAAAATATTTTTAAAAATTTCAAAGAGGTATAGTACAGTAGGATAATAAATTTACACTGTGCACAGGTGAATGGTGAAAATGCAGTTTAAAGAAATTTGCTTTTACTTGATTCAATTTGTATCAATTGTTTCTATCCATATAAAGGTGGGAGGAAAAAATATAAATTTTAAGTCAAATCCAGTAAATATGGCCCAGTGCAATAACTGAAATAGTCCCTTTAAGTTAATTTTCAGTCTTTTGATTTAAACGTGCCCAGTTCCTCACGTTTCCGCCTATTCCGTCTTTGATCTCCAAGGTGCTGTTGAATGGGTGCCTGTGGGTATAGCAAACATGGCCATGCAGTGGTGGAGGAAGGGAGTCTCCCATCTCCACTGGGCCTTGTGATGGCTCTGGGTCTTCCTTGACCTCTGCAGTGATAGAACCCCTATGCTTGATCCCTTCTCACTATGCTGCTATCAGTTGTCTCTGAGCTGGTGTAACTTGCATTCTGACTCTCTCAGTTTGGTCAAAGTCAGTTTTGCCCCACTGCTCTTGGCCCCTGTAAATCTCTTTCACATTCCCTAAGCCAGCTGGCCTGGGCTGCTCACCCACAGCCTCTGCAGCAGATTGTCTCACTCTTGCCAGGACAGGCCCCACAGAAGGTTCACCAATTTCTAGTTCAACTGGCTTCCAGATAAACTGAAGGCTAATGACCAATTCAGGACACCCCGAAGGCTTCATGGCTTCATTTCCTCTTGCCACTGCGAGTTTAGGTTTCTTCTTCATTTCTGGTACTTAGATATTTTTCCTTTTTGCTGTCAAGCCCTGCTTAAAATATTTTTTTTCCTCTTTTTTTCAGTATTTCTGTGTGCTTAGAGTGATGCTTTGTGTGTCATCTTGTCTGGAAGTCCTGGAATATTATTTTTGCTAGTAATTTGCTTTAAAAACCCTCTTTTCCAGAGGTCAAGGTAAGTACTTCAGTTCATTCTCTAAGTAAATGCAATCTGACTTAACTAAGTTTTGTTAGGCATTTTTTTCCTTTTTGGTCATCTAGCATACAGGAATTTTTTTTCTGTGCAGTGACTATTTCCATTCTTTTTTCTACGCATCAATATAAATCCTCAACACCAATTAGACTCTATGAGAGGATATTGTATACAATGTACGTGCCAGGACACAAATAAAATAATTCCAATTAATTATTAAGTAAGTAAATATAGAAATATTTACTATTATAAAGCATTTATAAGAGTCAAATGCCTGAACTTTATGGATCATACAATCTACTTGGAGAAATATGGTTGCATAAAATATTTAAATAACATTAGTCTGCAGTTCAGCAAGTGTGCATACCAGTGCCACTAACACCACCTATTGTAAACTTTTGTGGAAAGGAGAGATTGTTATCAACTGGGGTGTTCAGTGAAGCCCTCATGGCAAAGGCTTATTTTAAGTTGAAAGTTGAGAGATCAACTGATGTTTAGTAAGCTTAGATAAGGAGTAGTGTTGCATTCTCCTATTTTTGTGCTGTATTCTCTTATTATTTTATTATTATTGAGTTTCATGAATGTTTTCCTCCTTAGGCTTCTTTTCCAATTAGAAATAATGTTTACTGGATATCTGCTGAATACAAATTAATACATGTTTCCTGTGGAAAATATGAAAAATTATAAAGAAGAATAAAGCACCATCCATAATTTTACTCTACAAAGCCAACAGACATAATTTTGATTTTATAATTTCAGTATTTTATATGCACATTTGTGTTGAATAAAAGTTAAATCATATTGAGCTTATATCTCTTTAATCCGTTTTTTTTTTCACTTACGAGCATTTTCCTTTTTGAATAAGATTCCTCTAAAATGTAACTTTTAATGACTGTATATTTATCATATTTGTTTAACAATACCATATTGTGAGTCACTGGGAGAAAGTCAGGTAGTTGAGTCCTCAAATTTCATTCTCACCTTCTTTCATAATAAGAGAACCCTTATTTCAATGGGACTATATTATGTCCAGTTAAAAGCCACATCTCCCAGCCTCCTTGGACTAGGTGTGGCCATTGACCAAGTTCTGGCCAATGATATGTAAGGAGAATAGTTATCAGCAATTTAAAGAAAAAAAAGGGGGCTGACTCAGTTGAAAGCAGCATTCTTTTGCTTTTGCCTCCTATCAACTTCCCACTGCATGGGATGAGGAGGCGATGGCTGGAGTTCCAACAGGCATCTTGGATCACGAAATAACCTCAGAAAGCTGTTTCCTGAAGATGCTGAACTGGCAAGAAAGAAACCCTAGTCCTTGATGATATTGTGAAGACACCATATTAGCATGGATGGCCTATTTCTGAATTTCTTTCAGGTGAGAAAGAAATATATTTATATTTTATTTAAATGTTCTCTTATACGCAGACAGACCTAATTCTAACACAGATACTTAGACTGATTCCGATTTTTGCTGTTATAAGTTATGCTGTAATTAACATACTTGTTCAAAGGTCTCTGTGCATTTGTCTGAGAAATTTGAAGATGTATTTCTAGAAGTTGAATCATAAATTAAAAGTTTTATGAACATTTTAAATTGATTTTTGGCATATCTTGTCTAATTTGGGAAGAGATTTTTAATGAGGGTACTCCTGGGCAATGAACAAATCAGTAAGAATACACACATCCTAAATGTGCAGCTAAAACTCCACTCTATTGTTCCCTTTACTAGAATGGCTAATGAGCCACAGTCAAAAGGCTAAAACCCAGTAAAATAGTTGTGTTTCAAGCCTTTCAGGTAGTTATTCTTAAGATTTTCGTCTGAATTAAATTGTAAAGCGATAGACTTCCCACCCCCCACCAAAAATCTCAAAAAAAAAACCAAACCAAAAACAAACAGAAAGCTACCATGTGAGGTTTATTTCTTTCCCTGATTTTAGTTTGCTCTGGATTATTTGAAAGATGATTATTATTGGTGAGTTATGTGAGTCAATAGTTCTCAAACTTCAGCACATATAAAACTTCATCTAAAGCTCATCAGAAAATGCAGATTCCTGAGCTCCACTTCCAGGTCTTCTGATTCAATTGATCTGAAGGGGGTGCAGGAATATGCATTTTAACAGGCACACCACTGAGAGTAGCCCTGATCCAGATAAGTTAAAGAGTTTTTCAGCTTGTTATAGTTTGGATGTTTGTCCTCCTAAACCTCATGTTGAAATGTGATCCCATATGTTAGAGGTGGAGCCTAATGAGAGGTGTCTAGGTCATGGGGGCAGATCCCTCATGAGTAGATTAATGCCCTCGCTTAGGAGGGGTAGTGAGTGAGTTCTTGCTCTATTAGTTCCCATGAAAGCTGGTTGTTAAAAAGAGACGGACACTTCCCCTCTCTCTCTTGCTTCCTCTTGTCATGTGATTTCTGCACAGGCCAGCTCCACTTTACCTTCTGCCATAAGTGGAAGCAGCCTAAGGCCCTCACCTGAAGCCAAGCAGATGCCAGCAGCGTGCTTCTTGTATAGCCTGCAGAACCGTGAGCCAAATAAACCTCTTTTCCTTATAAATTACCTAGCCTTAGATATTTCTTTATAGCAACACAAAATGGACTAAGATACAGCTATTGCCTGAAATTCCATCCATTAGTAAATCTTGTTGCCACTGCTTGTTAGTCCTTCTAGAGAAGCTGACCAAGGATGGGCATAAAGGTGCAACTGAGACCGGCAATTCTGCTCTTTTCTATCAGTTGATTGACATTTTGTGGCTCTGGATGTAAAGCAATGGCCACACTTATGAATAATGGATATAATACTTTAGAAATTATTTAATGTATTTTTTATTCTCCCTAAATCGAGATGTCATATGGCTCTTCATCCTTTTAATCAATGAATTTTAATGCTTCAGGGGCAGGGCAGTCACTGGCTAGAACACCAAAGTCATTGCTCAGCTTTGACTGTCAAATGAAGCTTTTTATGTATTGTATCCCCAGGGAGAAAGTGCTGTTGAAAGCTAGGCTGCATCAAGAGAGAAGGGAATTTCTAAATTTCCAAAGCTCCCTTTATGTATCATTTATTTCTAATCTTATTGGATTCCTATTAGAGAATGAGGTCTGTAAAATCTCTACTTTTCATACTTTCTTGAGGTTTCTTTTACAGGCAAGTACATGATCGATTTTTGCAATATGTCTTTCTTTCAATGGATGTCAAATTCTTTAGCGATTAAAACAAGTGAGTTGATCATAATTTCAGTTCTTCTGTGTCTGTATTTATTTTTTGCCTCCTAGATCTCACTGATTTGAAAGAAGTGTATTGGAATCTCCCACTCTAACTGTATTTTATTTGTTCTTTTTGAATATTGAATATTCTTTTTGAATTTAATTTCATTTTTATCAAAGCAATATTCTTTTGCAGTCAAATTGTGCTCTGACGCTTAAAGCAACAAGAAAAAAAGGCGTGTCATTCCCTGCCTTACTCCCACTTCCCCAAATTATCACTCCCCAGAAGCAATCACTTTCAGCTCTTTTTGCTTTATCTTCTTGTGGTTACCTATATATTTCAAATTCCATGTATCTTTGGCTTTTAAATTTTAAATATTACCTATCAACATTCTACTTTGGAAAATGGGTTTGGAGGGAAAAGAAAACAAATTCCTGTATCCAATCTGATACATTTAAAGTTTTTAAGGATGGGGGAAAGAGGAACAAGAGCAATTGGTAAGAGACGTGGAACCTGTTTCTTCCTCCCCAGGCCAAAATCCCAGTTGCAGGTTTGATGAGTATTCAAAATTATGTTACATTTAAAAATATTTATTGAGCACTTACCATTCTACTAAAAATGACCTCATGAACTTGCATTCTAATGAGAGAGCCAGAAAATAAACAGATATGGAAACTATATGTCAATTGGTATAAAAAAGAAAATGCTATGAAGAAAATAAAATAAGGTAGATAGGATGGGGGGGGGCGTTAAGTAGGGTCATTATAGAAGGCCTGACTGAGAAGGTGGCATCCGAGCAAAAATGCCTGAAGTAGGTGAGAAAACTGGCTAAGTGTGTTCTGAGAAGAGCAGAATGAAGGAAGGGCAAAGGTAGGAAATGAGGTCACAGAGGCAATGCAGGGGCCCAGTGGCAGGAAAGGATGAGAGTCAGATTGTGTAGGATCTTGTCAGTACTTAGACTTTTACTCTGAGAGGGAAACTTCTGGAGACTTTTGAATACAGGAGTGATCTGATTTAACTTAAGTTTAAAGGAATCACTTTCACAGTTGTATTAACAATAGACTGAAAGGAGACACAAAGTGTGGAAGCTGGAGACCAGCCAGGTAAGTAATGCCATAATTCAAGTGAGAGATAAGTACAACTTGGACTGGAGTTCAGTGGGGAAGATGGTGAGAAGTATGAATTCTGGATATATTTTGAAGGTAGAGCCAATAAGATTCGCTGATGGGTGAGCCGTGGCAATCCGAGAGGAAGAGAACAGACAAGGAATTCTGGCCTAAGGAACTGGAAGAATAGAAGTGCTACTTCCTGCAATTGGGAAGATTGTGGTTAGGAACCTATTTTAGGAGGAGAAAATTCAGCTGTGGATATGTCATGTTTGAGATGCCTCTTGGTCATCCAAGTGAAATGGTGAACTAGACAGTTGTATATTTAAATCTAAAATTCACTGGAAAGTTTAGACTGAAAATGAAATTTGGAAGTTATTAGCATAGATGGTATTTAAAGCCAGAAGACTGGATGAGAACACCCAGGGAGTGAGCGAGTATGAAAAAAGAGAAGGAGGCCTAAGGACTGAGCTCTGGGTTACTTCACACTTAGAAGTCAGAGGAGGAGGCAGAGAAGACTTGATAATGAAGTCAGAAGAAAACTAGGATTTCCAGGAGGCCAAGTAAAGAGTATTTCAAGGAGAAAACACAACTTTGTCAAATGCTGCTGATACATGAAATAGGATGAGGACTGATCCTATTGACTACTGGATTTACCAATATGGAGGTCATTAGTAGACTTGAAGAGAGCTGTTTCAATGAAATGGTAGTGGGGGTGGGAGGGAGGAGAGGAAACCCTGGGGGAAATAAAAATGGTGAATATAAATTTTATCAGGGGATTTGCTGTAAAGGGGACCAGAGAGGTGGGGTGGTAGATGGAAAGGGATGGAAGAGGATGTATGTTAAGGTACGAAATAGAATTCTGTGTGTTTATTTATTATTATTATTTTTCTTTCTGACTCTTATTTTAGGTTTAGGGAGTACATGTGCAGGGTTTGTTATATGAGCACATTGTATGTTGCTGGGGTTTGGAGTACAGATTATTTTGTTACGCAGGTACTAAGCATAGTACCCAATAGGTAGATTTTCAGTCCTCACCCTCCTCCCACCCTCCACTCTCAGGTAGGCCCCTCGTGTCTGTTGTTTCCTTCTTTGAGTCCATGTGTACTCAATAGTTAGCTCCCACTTATAAGTGAGAATATGTGGTATTTGGTTTTTTGTTCCTGAGTTAATTCACTTAGGATAATGACCTCCAGTTGCATCCATGTTGCTGCAAAGGGCATGATCTCATTCTCTTTTATGGCTGCATAGTATTCCGTGGTGTGTATGTACTACATTTTCTTTAGCCAGTCCACCATTGGTGGGCATTTAGGCTGATTCCATGTCTTTATTATTATGACTAGTGCTGTGATAAACATACATGTGCATGTGTCTTTATGGTAGAATGATTTATATTCCTTTAGGTATATACCAAGTAATGGGATTGCGGGGTTGAATGGTAGTTCAGTTTTAAGTTCTTTGAGAAGTTGCCAAACTGCTTTCCACTGAGGCTGAACTAGTTTACATTTCTACCAGCAGTGTATAAGTGTTCCTTTTTATCCACAACTCTCCCAGCATGTTGTTTTTTCACCTTTCATAATAGCCATTCTGACTGGTGTGAGATAGTATCTCATTGTTTTGTTTTGTTTTGTTTTGTTTTTGAGACAGGTGCTAGCTCTGTTGCCCATGCTGGAGTGCAGTGGCAAAATCAGAGCTTACTGAAGCCTCTAACTCCTGGGCTCAACCGATCTTCCCATCTCCGCCTTTCAAGTAGCTGGGACCACAGGTGTGTGCCACTATGCCTGGCTAATTTTTTAATTTTTTGAAGAGACAAGGTCTTGCTGTGTTGCCCAGGCTGGTCTCAAATTCATGGGCTCAAGTGATCCTCCTGCCTTGGCCTCCCACAGTGCTGGGATTATAGGCATGAGCCACCATACCCCGGCCTCATTGTGGTTTTGATTTGAATTTCTCTAATGATTAACAATGTTAAACATTTTTTCATATGCCGAAAAGCTCCTAGATCTGAGAAACAACTTCAGCAAAGTTTGAGGATACAAAACCAGTGTACAAAAATTAGTAGCATTCCTATAACCAACAATGCCCAAGCTGAGGGCCAAATCAAGAACACAATCTCATTCACAATAGCTACACACAAAAAATAAAATACCTATGAATACAGCTAACCGGGGAGGTAAAAGATCTCTACAATGAGAATTACAAAACACTGCTGAAATTAGAGATGACACAAACAAATGGAAAAACATTCCATACTCATGGATTAGAAGAATCAATATTGTTAAAATGGCCATA